AAAAAAAAAAAAAAAAAAGAGACAAGGTCTTGCTCAGTCATATTAAACTCCCAGGCTGGAGTGCAGTGGCGTAATCCTGGAACTCTGCAGTGTTGAACTCCTGTGCTCAAAGGCTCCTCCTGCTTCGGCCTCAGAAAGTGCTGGGGTTATAGCCAGGAGCCACCACGCCAAGCTGAGTGTTCTGAAGACAGGGCAGGATAGCCTGAAGGAAGTGAAGAAATGGCTTGTCTGCTGGTTTGGGTCACACGCTGATCAGTAGAGAAGGGTTGCGTTACCCTCAATGTTCCCGGGGCTGGGTCCGTGTCTTGTCCATCTGTGTCATTCTGGCACAATGCCCACAAACGCCTGTGCAAAGGCTGGTACTTCCTGGACTGAGAGCTGGCCTTGGACATGAGGAGGGGTGTGGAGCCTCCCAGAAGCTGGACTCGGGGTTCTGGCTGGAGCCTCCCAGCTGGGAAGGGCCTGTGCATCCAGGCGGCAGGTGCCAGCCCCCGGCTAGCTGGACAGGGGCAATCCCACTGGAGGAGTCTGTCCACCTGTAGCCCTGGCTGGACGGCTGTGAAGCCCAGTGCTCCTCACCTTTGGCCATCCACAGTACGCCAAGCCGGGGTCTGCTCTGGGACCGGGTCACACCTTCTCTGGCTCCTTTCTCACCGGCTCAGGCTCTGCCCTTGTGAGGTCTCCGCTGGCCCAGGGCTGAGGGGCACAGTTCTCCCTGTGGGCCTCTGACTGCCTCATTGTGAACTGCATCCTCCATCTACAGCAGATGATTCATATGCAAATTTCAACACCCGCTCATCGGGAAGCCTGGACTCCCAGGCACAGAATTCACTGGGAAAAAGCCTCACCCAAGGGCCTTCAATTCTCACCCGTGTTCATGAGAAAATCCAACTTTTTACATTCTCTGCTGGATCCCCAGGGCACAGCCTGGACAGCAGCCTCTGTCACAGTCACCTGCTGCCCTAGGACCCGGGACAGGTACATGGGGTTCCAGGTGGCGAGGCTGCCCTGGGCACACGTCAGCTGCTCCTTGGCCCTTGCAGCAGCTCTGTGGTCAAAGTGTGGACTTGGAGGGGAGGTGGCAGTCAGGCCAGACACGCCAGGAGGCTGCATCGGACTGGTCATGCACCGGCCTCTCTCCTCCAGCTTTGGCCTCTGGGTGGGTGGGGGCTTCCCCTAGGCTCTGAGATAACCAACCTCAGTCACCGTGACCTTTGGCTCAGATCAGAGCAAGCGCTTACTCCCTCCCTCTGTGGACCACGTGGAAGACCACCCTGAAGGGTCCATGTGGAGTCGCAGTTTTTAATGCAGTCTCAGCACTTCAAAAATGAGAAAACAGGCCAGGCTTGGTGGCTCACGCCAGTAATTCCAGCACTTTGGGAGGCTGAGGCAGGCGGATCACCTGAGGTCAGGAGCCTGGCCAACATGGTGAAACCCTGTCTCTACTAAAAATACAAAAATCAGCTGGGCATGGTGGTGGGCGCCTGTAATCCCAGCTACTCAGGAGGCTGAGGCAGGAGAATTGCTTGAACCCGGGAGGTGGAGAGGTTGGAAGTTGCAGTGAGCTGAGATCATGCCACGGCACTCCAGCCTGGACCACAGGGCAAGGTTCCCATCTCAAAAAAAAAAAAAAAAAATAGAAAACAGAGCACATACCCACTACTGTGTGACCCTGGACAAGTCCCTTGACCTTATTGAACCTGTTTCACTGTTAAAATGTGCTACACATATGCCTCTTGCGAATCCACAAATGTGCACTTGAGGCGGGCCATGGTGCCGGGCAGAGCCATAGCTCACTGGTTGGAAGCCAGCTGCTCCTGGCATGCCGATCACCTGGTTCCCTTTGCAGTGGCTGAATTTCCCCGCAGCCCAGCTCCTGCACCCAGCACAGCACATCTGCAGAGGAGGGGAGCCAGCATCTTCCTGTCTTGGGCCAATGAGCACCTGACGGCTCTGCCCGCACTTGTTTTGTTTAGTGATTCTGTTCCTTTGCCTTCATCATTAGGATCCAGGATTCAACTGGGTGGTTCCTGTCAGCTCAGCCTTGGCCGTGAATTCCCTTGGAGCTGTCAGAGTTGAGCGTCAGAGCTGCCTGTCAGTCAGCCAGTCAGCCAGTTAGCCAGTCTGCGAACCCAACAGCTGTCCTGCCTGCGCCTCATCCACCCACCTGCCCATCACTAGGTGGGTGGGGGAGGGGAGTCTTGAGCTGGTGCCCCCCCTGTCTACAGGGAGGGGTCCTCAGCTCCTGCTTCACAGCACTCCTCAGTCACAGCCTGCAGTAACACATAGAGTGTTCAGGGCGCATGTGACCCCAGCAAACACGTGCCACCCACTGCACTACTCCTTACACGTGTGCATGTCCTGTGATCTGTTACACCAGGCATGGTGAGGAAACGCACCACAGCACGTTTGTGCTGCACAGGAACATGCTTTCCGTGTGTGCAATGTAGTGTGCCCTGGGTGGGGAGTTCGTGTGTGTGCACATCCCTGTGTGGTTTCTAGGAGTCCACTGCACATGGCTTACAACAGGTCAGGCTTTTCCTTCCTTTATGTATACTTTCCCTGTCTCCCTCCCCTCTTCCTTCCTTTCTTTCTGAGACCAGATCTCACTGTTGCCCAGGCTGGAGTGCAGTGGCATGATCATGGCTCACTATAACCTTGAACTCCTGGGCTCAAGTGATCCTGCCACTTCTGCCTCCCAAGTAGCTGGGACTACAGGTGTGCATCACCAAGCCCAGCTAATTTAAACATTTATATATTTATATATATATATGTATATATTTTTTTTTTTTTTGGGCCAGGCACAGTGTCTTATGCCTATAACCCCAGCACTTTGGGAGGTTGAGGCAGGTGGACCACCTGAGGTCAGGTGTTCAAGACCAGCCTGGCCAACATGACAAAACCCTGCCTCTATTAAGTAAATACAAAAATTAGCCAGTGTGGTGGTGGATGCCTGTAATCCCAGCTACTCGGGAGGCTGAGGCATGAGAATCGCTTGAGCCTGGGAGGTGGAGGTTGCAGTAAGCCAAGACTGTGCCACTGTACTCCAGCCTGGGTGATAGAGTGAGACTCTGTCTCAAAAATAAAAAAAAAATTCATAGAAGCAAGGTCTCATTATGTTGCCCAGCAACTCCTGGTCTCAAGCGACCCTCCTGCATTGGCCCCCCAAAGTGCTGGGATTACAGGCGTGAGCCACTGTGCCTGGCCGCATGTCTTCCTTCAACACATGTGGGCCTGGAAGAACAAGCCAGAGCTAGCGGATGTTGCTGCAAATGAGAAAGAACGAACTGCGTGACACTGGCCCACAACCTCGTGTTGCCCCTGGCTTGCCCTGTCTCTGCTTCCCATGTGGGATGTTGACAGGAAGGCCAACTGGCCAGTCTCCACCCTGTAGCACACCACACACAACAGTCCTGCACCTGCCACCCTGAGTCTGTTCACTCCACACTGATGGAGCACCTGTATGCGTCAGCAGCA